TGACAATAAGAATTATTATTATAATTACTGTAAAAAACCATGCTAGGAAAACTTAATTACTAATGATAACAAAGTGAGATCTGTCAGAACTACCAGTAAAGGTACAGGCGATAAAAATTCCATGATAAAAAAAAGCAAAATCAATCACAGACCACGCACAGTTCTGTAGGGTAGTTTCGTTTCAGCTCCTAAATACAGATGCGAATACACCGGAGTGTTTCCGCACCGAACGAAAGTATTTCCTTCCATGTATATTAACAAACTCGGCCCGCATCTCTTTTTAATTTCATGTGACAGTGTTAGGTAGTGCAAATGTACGTGTAGAGCTACAGCTATAGGGAAGTATGCGTCAAGCCTTCGACTCTGGATCGATAATCTGTGATCTTGCCTAACGATGAATTATGTTGTTGTTTTAGTGTTTGTTGTAAATTCCTCTTAACTAGCTTGTATCGCCACGTCAGATCGACCTCGCCGTCATTCGTCCAGCTCGTCATCCCCCCTCCCCCCCCCTTCCCTCCCTTCACTTGGTTAATAAAGCCCCCTTCACTTCTTCACTCAGTTCAGACAATACACGCATCGGGAACAACAACGTAACAGACAGCATTTTCACAAGGACAGCAACAACTCAGCACTACGACAACGAACAACTTCAAATCGATGATACTCAATTCAGAATATTCGTCATACAAGCAAATCCAAAGGCTCAAATGGCCGTTTAACATAAATTTGTCTAGTAACTGCTAATTACCTGTGTGCACGATGTGCAGTGCCAAATGCATCATTGACATAGACGTCGCCATGCTTCGTGAGAGATGTGCGGAACTTCTCAATATCTTCCTTCGATGCTTTAACCTAAAATTTTTTCCAACATCTGATAAAAAATATGCATTTGCTCCTTATTTTTTTCATAAAATCGCTTCTTCAAAAAACAAAAAACAGAATCATTTCGTTTTTTGAAATTTTTACTTTAATATCAATTTGCATTTCTGTTTTCCCGTTGTTTATTTATCGCACAGTTGACAACAAATAGCATTAAAAACTTCTATAGAGTTTAGTGGCATCAAATATAATTATATGTTTAAAATTTCACGAAAGACCAGTTCCAGTTGCATGCTGTACACATAAATTTTAGTTTTTCTTCAGATTTGCAGTAAGTACATTGAAGTTATTACAGTTCAAGACAACTAATCAGCTGGTATTTCCCGTACTGCACACAGCCTGTTTAAGGTTAAAAGAAAAATATAAGAATGATGATGAAAAAAATATAAGAAAGGATAATGGAAAAAGTAAGAAAGGAAGTATGGAAAAAATGAGAAGTATTAAAGTAGGTAAGAAATGTTTCGGTCCATAAAGTCGTATACATTTCTTCCCGTTACCACAGCTGGACCTCGTCAGTACGACGACTGTGCTAACAATATAATTTAGTTAAGAGTAAGAATTAATTAAGATGAAAAGGATGTAAATTGGAAGAAATGAAATGAGTGGAAGAAATGATACCTACTGAAATGTAAGTAAAAAATGTAAGTATAAGTTTTTTATTCATACATCGCCCCTTCGTATGCTTTCATATGACGGTATTTCGGTTCACTCAAAGCAAAAAATGAGCGAAAACAGACAATTTTATCAAGCAGCGGTATTTAAGACGCTATTTTTAGAAGCACACCTTTTCGCCCTTCTCATTCACCCCTTTGCCCTCTTCTTCCAGATAAAACCGAAGGTTTTCCAGCAGAATCACACTTCCGGGAGCAGGATTTGCAGTTGCTTTTTCGGCTTCCGGTCCAACACAATCGTTCACAAATATTACATCCCTTAAAGCGGAAAATTTCATATTTTTGCAAGACAAACACTGGAACGTCGTCTGCAACACAAAAATATTTTTTTTCATCAAAAACACGAGAAAGTAGATGCTTGCCTGCCAAGGGTTTTCTTCAGTTCGGGGACAACCGGCTCCAAAGTGAACTCCTTCTTTTTCATGCCATCTGGTCGTCCAAGATGCGACATCAGTACCACTGCTTTTGCACCGTGATCCAGTGCATACTAAACATTCACATATCAGTGAAGGAGTTTTAGCTTAGCAGGCTCTGAGGAATGCCGTAATACTGAGGTAACTGTCC